TGATATTGGCCAAGCAATTGATCAAGCGGCCAGTTAATCACTGTCGCAGGACGTTTACGCATTCACGCCCATAGCACGCTAGCAGACAGACACGCGCGCAGGGTCCGGACCTGCCGCCTGTCGGGGCTTCAGACCACCACTGCGTTTCTGTATGCAATAATCATTTCCTGCTGCTCTTACCCCTTCTCTTCGTATACGGGACTGGGCGGGATAATTTTAAAGCTATGGAGTATGTGTTTTTTTCGTTGTCTAGAGTCGGGCGATAAAAAATCAGCCCGAATGAAGTTTGGGACGCGCGTAAGCTCATAGTTCCATCTGTAATGCTTCTTGCAAAAATAGAATACATGTCAGCCATTGATACAAGTATAGGAATAAGTTACTAGCATACACTATCTGCTTGTCTTAGTAAGCATGATTACTAGAATTAGTACTCCTTGCAGTGGTATATTACCTATAGCAGCAGTATCCTAGCCAAAATTTAGTAAAATGTGACACCTCTTCATGGACAGAGGTGAGAGGGTGGAAGCTAAGGCAAGCCCTGATGTGTTCGCGGGCATCAAATATGTATTTACTCGAAATAGCATAAGCCAAGATTCGCACTCCTTGTTGAGCTCAAGGTGTTATGAGCCCCGGCGTTGAATTTATTTAGCGAAACCTCTGACAAATATTGACTTCAGAAATAGTGCCCGTATAACTAGCACTCAGCTACACTCCTAGCTACTAGTAGTAGGACTAGCAGCAGTAGTAGCGGTACCATTCTTGATTTCATTGAGTCTTACTTCAAACCTACTGAAGGTCAGTGAGGAGAAAGCGGCCTACACCCGATCCTGTTCGATTATCTTGCCTCTGTCTTGTCATCGGTTCAAACGGGTAAGGGTTTAGAATGAGGTAGACGGTTGCCCGTCCATGTCACTTAATTCCTTGTCTATTTCCACCATTCCCGCTTGCAGACATATAATGGATTTCTATGCTCAAACTATCATCAGAGTCAGGCGAATCCCTTGTTATTGACTACCTGCATCCAGTGTTCAGGTTTTGGCATTGCTTTTTCTTCGCTATTTATTTCACACTATCGATATGATCGGAAATTGACGAACGCGTTACGGCTGGATACGGAGTCAAGGGATACTCAAACATTCGGTAACATTTAACGGTTGAAGGTGTACTGCAAAAACTACATACTTTCAGTGCCAGATGTAGGTTAATTTGTGTTTTTCATACTTACCTCCGGAATGGGACGACAGTTGGCTATGTCAGCCACCACCTGCGTCATATCCAGGGCTTGTGGATAGAGTAAGTAAACGGAAGGGGGGATCTGGCGTTTCCAGTGCCGATCCGGAAGCTCAGCCAAGTCCGCAAATGTATAAATTCGCTGTTGATAATGACGTCGTCGGAAGTGTCGACCGATGACCCACCTATTGGCACTATTGATGTTACTGCCGCTGCCATGACTGTTATTCGCAATCTCCACTGCAAGTGACAACTCAAAGGTGTTTGTTTCGTGCGAGAATCTTAGACGTAACCAGTCAAACTTGCAGGGGCTTATATTCTTGATGATAGGGGTATCCGAGGGGCTAGAGATCCACAGAGCAGTAGTATGCAATAACCCGAGAAGACCCACTGTCAAAAGGAGACGAACCGTCAATTTAACTGCAAGCTTTGCGCGTCGGAGCATGGCGGTTGAGGGTCGGCTTGGTAAGCACAGATAAAAAGTGTTGTAGGAGCTTTTATAATTAGTTTGTCGGTTCGAGGCTCTGATTCGTAGAGATCACATCGCGGTTTTTTCGAAATCTGGCACATGACGCGTCAAATAAGGTGGCACGACAGGTGACGCGGCAATTTAAGTGGCACTTAATCTAATTGTCGGTAGCCTACTCCCTTCTCACCTGACTTATCAGCCTGTTCAAATAAAGTCTTAGGAACAGATATGGCAGCGGATTTGGGAGAAAATCGGAAAGCTTGTCGCAGGTAGTTGTACTCGACAACAGAATGTTTCCCTCCCCCC